AATTACACCTATTGTTACTCCTTTTATAACATGATGATCCTACCTTGAACAAATATTAATCTGGAGACATGCCTTTATGTGGGTTTCCTAATGCCCTGGGCCTCTAGCAGTTTGGTGAATGTGTGTGTGTGTGTATTTCTTCTCAGATGATGCTTATTTTGTTTCTTTTTGTCTTCTGGTACTGGAGTCCCATGCTTCCTAGGTACTTTACCACTTGAGCCACACCCTCAGCTCTATTAGACAATGTTTTTAAATAGAGTGAATGAGAACACAGAGGCTTAAGATGGAAACAAATTTTACTGAAAAATAAGCATCCATGGATTTACAAAATTAACTTTGAAATGTAGCAATTTCTGTGCATTCTTACAGATAAGGTAATTGGTAAGATTTGAACTAGATTTCATTGAACTAAAAGTTTTCCTAATTTGTAAGGTAGCTCAAAAACTATCTTGATCAAATATTTGTAATTGTGTTATAACTATTTGAAGAACTAATTTTTTTCTTTTTCTTTTTAATTGCTGGGTTGGGGCTTGAACTCAGTGCCTGGGTGCTGTCCTGAGCCTCATTGTGCTCAGGGCCTGTGCTCTACCACTTAAAATATGGCACCACTTTGGACTTTTTCTGAGTAAATTGGAGATAAGAGTCTCACAGACATCCTGCCTGGTCTAGTTTCACCAGGATCCTCAGATCTCAGCCTCCTGGGTAGCTATGATCACAGGTTTGATCCACCAGTGCCCAGATTTCAAGAACTCCTTAGCAACAATCAGAATATGAAAATATCTATTCTATTGTTGACACATATATTGTCAAAACTAAGGTAGTCCTTGGTATTCCAAGTGAATTTGTTCTAGGATCCCTGTAGTCATCCAAATTTAAGGATGTTCCTTTTAAGGATGTTCCTCTCTCTTCTCTCTCTCTCTCCCACTCCCCTCTTCTCCCTCTTTCATGCTGCTTCTTGGACTTGAACTCAGGACCTGGACCTGGATAATCTCTCTCTCTGTGTCTCTGTCTCTCTCTGTCTCTCTGTCTCTGTCTCTGTCTCTCTGTCTCTGTCTCTGTCTCTCTGTCTCTCTGTCTCTGTCTCTCTGTCTCTGTCTGTCTCTCTGTCTCTCTGTCTCTCTCTCTCTCTCCCTCTTCCTCACTGGCTCACTGACTGGTTCTTGGGCTTGAACTCAGGTCCTAAATGCTGTCCTTGAGCACTTTATGCTCAAAGCTAGCACTTTACCACTTGATCTACAGTTCTATTTCTTGCTTTTTTCCTGGTTAATTGTTGATTGGAGTCTCACATCCTTTCCTGGCTGGGTTACCTTCAATGTGTGAACCTCTAATCTCAGCCTCCTGGGTAGCTAAGGTTACAGGTGTAAGCCACTAGCTCCTGGCCTCTTTCTTTTATAAAATGGTTTATTTGTATATAACTAACGCATAACCTCTCCTCTAACTTTAAGTCACTGCCAGATAATTTATAATACCTAAAACATGTAAATAATATATAAATGGTTGTTATACTGTATTACCAGAACCAACAAATCTAGAAGATCTATTATACTGGGCTTTACTTTTTATATTTCATAAATGGAAGAAAGTGTTGTTTCATTCTAAAAGTTAGTGGAGGCTAATATCTAATTATTTTTCCTTCTAGATGATGGAATTTTGAATTGTTTTCAGAGCTGTACCTTCCCTATTCTCTACTGTATGCTACATAGCTCTGCTCTAGTAAAAGAGATTTTTAAGCATTTAAATATTTTCATATCTACCAAATTAGGACTGTGTAAATTACCTGTAGGGGGCCCCTTTTGCTTTATGCTGAAAGCGTATTTTGTTTTACTGGTGTTGTCAAGTGTTCTGGATTATTCTCCTAAATGTTTAACGTAAAAATCCTGGCAGAAATGAAACAGGTAAGAGGGAATACTACACACAAACACTATGTGAAGTGGTATTGAAAGAAAATCCAGTATGTAGAGCTTCATTTTAAATTAAAAGATATTGTATAAATAGTATTGTGATGAAATACTCAAATGAAAGCCCTGTGGACTTAAAAAACAATTCATAATGTCCATTTTATTTCAATGCCTTCAGCTCTTTACTATTTGACTGAGTAAAACTGAAAAATTCCCAAGCTCTATTATGTGCCTTACTCAATATATTTGCAATATGTTTGCAGGACACATAAATAGAAATGTTTATTTAAAAAATTACTAGAACCAAAAAACCAACTCATTGTATCATGCAAAAATATCACATTTTGGAAAAATACTGTGTCATAAATAGGCCTCTACCGCTGGTCATTTAGTTTTGACCTCTTTTTCATTTAGACCATTTGATATTACCTAGATTTTATAGGATGCTTACAATAGACTTTGAGGCTAAGAATAAAATACTATTTAACATTACATTTTATTAAATAGATTCTGTTGCCATACTTTCTTCAATTAAAAAAGAATAGCTAGAAGTAAGAATATCTGTTGGAATTTTAATGCCTATTCTCATTTTCCTCTAGTAGAAATGTGTTAAAAATAGCAATTATGATTTCAGTAATAACAAAGTATTTCTATATTCCTACTTGATACTTAAAAGCCCAGGTTATTTCTATCTCCTAAAGCATTTAGTGATTATTTTTATAAAATATCGAAGACATTATATGAAGTGCCCTTTCTCCTTTCCCTTAAGGTGAAATAAATCAACAATAAAGTAACCACATTCTCAAAATGTATATGCCTACTTTCCACAGGGTTCCACAAGTTTAGGCAAGCTAACTAACTATCATTCTTTTGAGATATGTTGTCAGGACTAAAGGCAGGTGTTGCAATGGCTTTATTTTGTACTTCCATACCATGTTACAAAAAAGAAAATTTTGTTTAATATCCATGAAAAAATAAATGAGATAATTTCTAAAACTACAAGAAAACTTTTGAAATATCACTTTATACTCAAGATACTGTAAATCTTACCTAATCCTCCTATATATTTCTCTTTTATAATGAGGTCCAAGCCTTAACCACATGTCTTGAAAGCGTCCATAATCTTTTAAGCCACCCATACAAGAAAAATAGTTGAAAGGGCAAAAGAGATTGAAATAGTCATGGAAACAAATGAATGTAAATGGAGCTACATATTCTACCAAAACACCCCAAAATTCATAATGTCAATAAAAACACAGATAAATGTAAAAATTACTCCTTATGTGTATATTTTCTGATATGTATATATATATATATATATATATATATATATATGTGCCTATATGTATGCATATCATTTCTGTGAGTGAATTAATTCTATTATAGGAAGTTTTAATCTAAATTAAGAAAGAAAAATCAAGGAATACATGTTATGTACTCTCTATTTTTGCCCTCTCTTCTCCTAATGCATCAAAAGTTCATTTTATTATATTTGGACCACTAAAGTATATAATAAAATAAATATTTTAGTAAATAAAAAAGTTCACAGGTTATAAGACACAAAAAAATTGAACACTTCGGGCTGGGAAGTTGGCTGAGTGGTAGAGTGCTTGCCTTGCATGCCTGAGGCCCTGGGTTTCATTCCTCAGCACCACATAAGCAAAAAGAAAAAAGCCGGAAGTGGTGCTGTGGCTCAAGTGGTAGAACGCTAGCTTTGAGCTGAAGAGCTGAGGGACAGCGCCCAGGGCCAGAGTTCAGGCCCCACGACCGGACCCCAAAAAAAAAAAAATTGAACACTTCTTTCTGTCCTCATGAACATCATATACTTGTTGAATATGGTGAGTGTATGGTCAATATGTATTTTATTATTCTACATAGTTTTCCATACACTGTCAGTATTTAAAATTTTCTGATTAAATTATATTTATGTAGCAGATAGCAGATATAAAGCCTTATTTAGGAAAGTATTTTGAATTTTAAAAAGCTGAATTGCAGAAGTTTTACCTAATTATGATATATGAGGAGTAAAATGTAAAAGAAGAAAACTAAGAAATTAGGTAGAATTCATACTTTATATCTTTCCTTTCTTATAAAAATATGACTTAGCTAAAAAATTAAATCATGAAAGAAGAAAACATGAAAATAGTATTATAAAATTTGTGAAATCTTGAAACACAGAATTTTACATTTCCATTTTAAATTTTAATTCACAGATTGGTACAAGCCATATATGAGTATATTAAAAGAAACATACTTAACTGCTTCCCTACAATCTTTTATGAAGAGTTCCTGCATGTAAGCATAACTCTTAGGGCCAAAGTTGAACAAGTTTTTCTTGGGAACAAAACTAAAAAGAACAAAAAAAGTAATAAAGAATAGAGTTATTGCAAGTCATGGAATGTTAGCTTAGGACATCACTCATCTCCATCATCTGTTTGATTTTAAAATTTTATTACAAACAATGTGTAATTGCCGTAAATATTTTCCCACTGAGAAGAGACTATCATAGATAAAAGTACTTTTCCTAAAATTTAATTTTCACAATTCATTTATTCCTGTTGTTTAACCATTTGGTCTTTTCCAGCAGATCCCTGAAGTCTCAGGAACCATGAGAATATTCCAAAAGAACAAAGAGCAACCCTTTGCTCTCATCCCAGCCATGGAAGTCATCTTCATTTCAATTAATTTACTTTGGCTTTATGAACTTAAGAGTCTTCCAAGGAGGCTGACATTTCACTCATCTGAAAAAATTTGGAATGTGACAGGGGAAAGGGAGGAGAAGTAAATCAAAGGAGTTAGCAATTTTCCAGATGCAATGGATTTTTCTTCTCTTCATTTCTACCAGAAATTTTAGACATCTTAATTCTCTATTGAAAACCACAGTAGCAAATGCTGCTGAAGACATATGTCAAGAAAAAAAACCCTCACACATACATCAGAAAATGTACATACCCACAAAAATTTTTTAAAAATGTTACTTTCAGTGTATTTTAATGATGCAGGTCAATGAATATAATTTTAGTTTCAGAAACAAAATTTTAGTTTTAGAATGCTGGGTAATGTGTTGTTCTTTGGTTGCTTTGGTTTATTGGCATTGTTTGTGTTAACTAAGTCATTGAGGTCCATCTTTGCTTTTTCATTAAAACACAGCATTTATTAAAACTGTCCTCATGACTACATTTTCAACCACACCGGAATATTTCAGTTATCGCCTTCAGCCACATGGTTTCAGGAAACTGTGCCTAGATATTTCATGAAATGCTGCTGGTCATTTCAGAAAAGATCTTCTTTCACTGAGTAGAAATTCACTAAAACATCTAAAAGTTTAAAAAAAAAAAACATTGTTTTGAGGCTTGAAGATAAATTCTCAGCAACAGGGAATATGATCATTGCTTCTGGGAGCCAAAAGGAGAAATGGCAGTTAACTCCACAAAACACTCTAGCTCAATATTTACCTGACAGCTTTGGTATCTTGACATTTTCCCCAGTGTATTTCCTCCTTTATCAGGTATCATTTTACAAGGGATTTCTTGTTATACAGAACTAACATAAATCAATCTAGAACAGAGGAATTTGTTTAATACATTTATTCTTTTAAGAAGTTGCAAGACCATATTTCATTTGACTTGTACAATAGGGGAGGAAAAAGTCATACTACTAAAACAGAGTTTCTGGAACCCGGTGCATGGTAAACCTATTTAGTCTCTTTAGAGGTTCACTCTTAGATTTTAACGTTAAATAATAACAACTATTCATATAAGCGGGTCTCACTGTATATCCTGACCTTTAGCAAATCCACACACAGCAGCTTATTGTGGTATCCTTTAAATATGAGAAATAAGAACGATTTACTTTGCTATGGAAAAAAATAAAATAAAAGAGTACTGTATGTTACATGGCCCATGAAATATTGGCAGTATGCTCTTTGGCTTTCATTCGAAGAACTGCGATACTAGAAGACCTCCTTTCAAACTCTGGCTTTGTTTCAAACGCATGTCCATTGGTAGCCCCAGTAAGAAGAGAGTCAGTGAAGAAATTGTTGAGGGGCATGTGGCTGAACTGATTCTGGTGGTTTGAAAACCCTGTGTAACTGGAATCTGTCCGAGGAGAGTGAGAGTAAGGCGTCATGCAGGAGGAAGTGTCACGTGGTAACATACATGACGTAACCACAGAACCACCACTTGCATTTCCTGCCCACAAGTTGTTCTGAATCTGGAATAGATAAAAACAACAAAATATTACATTCGCACTTTCTCAAAGGCTATTTACTAAAGTCGGGTAAGCTACTCATTATTCGTCTGCATCCAGTAGGCTGTAATTACACTCTGGATACATAAAACTGTGACTGAAAAATAATTATTCAAGAGTTTGTGCTAGCTTATGTACTGGAATAGATCATCAAAGACCATATACAGAACCAAATAAAACACTGAAAACACATCCATCTCTTCCATATTCTCTTTATAGTCATGATTTTTAAATGCATCTGGAAGATTTAGTCAATTCAAGAATTAGGTTCTTGTGCTCAGGAAAGAGGGTCTAAAATATGGTTTTAAGTTGAAAGCTCATTTCCATTTTTTTCTGAAAAAAACATGAAACACCCTCATCTTATGCAGGTTCTGAAATTAGACTCTTGGTGCAGTGGTTTTATTGGAAGTCACTGCCAACATTAGGCTACTTGGTCTGTAAAAATATTTGTGATCAAATTTGTTTTGGAAAAAGGTTGCTTTCTGATTTTAAAAAATTCCCATGGTCTTAAATTGTTCTGCAACTCTGAAAAAAACTATAAGTTTTAAGTATTTATTTTATTATTCATATATGACACAGTGAATTTGAAACAGACGTGTGACATGTAAAACAAACTTAAGAATTCTAAAACATGGACTATTAGCAAATGTTGAAAGTGTAGCTGAAAAAAATTAGCAAAAATATCAGATGACAATAATGTAAAAACATTCTATAAAACATATATGTGATGTGAAACTTTAAAAAGTTATGCCCGAAAATTGTCAGCTCATACTATTAAGTCTTTACAGAAAACAATTTCATATAGTATTATTAACAAATGCAATTTTCTCTAAAGCCACTAGCCCATAAAAGCAAAATTCAGTAGAACTTAGAAAATATGAGCTTTATATAGAAACCATCCCAATCTCAATAAACAACAACTCTGACCACATGCATTACTAAGAAGTACAGAGAAAATCATGACAATTGGCAGGAGCTATGGAAGTGGAAAAGGGAGGAAATGTAGCATGGAATAGCAAATCAGAAAGATGAAGCTTTAGACAATGAAATAAAATTATATACTTTTAAACTTTGGTTTTATGTTTACTTTTGGTTGTGGAAATGAAATCTTATTAAGTACCCCGGCTGATCTTGAACTGGCAATGCTTCTGCTCATCTTCCTTAAAGCTGGGATTAGAGGCATATGCTACCATACTAGATGACATGATTTCTACATCCCGATTATAATACATTTTAATTAGAATATGATAGTAGTATATATGATTCAAGGTCATAAAAATAAAACGGGATTGAGGATTTTGACCAATAGACATGCTTTCTTATAATGGTTTTAACTTAAAGATTCAAGGCTAGTAAATGGAATCTCTGATGCAGTTATAAAAAACTCAAATTTAAACTGTACTGGTGATAATATCTTATCTTTGATCAGTAGTGCAAAATATGTTTGTAAATCTAACACTGATAGAGGTCATGCTGTCATTCATAAATGATGGTTTCACCAGTTTCAAAGCACAACAGAAAACACACGAACTAATTTCCACCTAAAAAAAATGTTTGAATTAGAGATTTAAAAATTTAAATGAGAAGATAGTAATAGCATACATTTATTTTTTGCTAAAGAAATTCTTGATTCACAAATGATATTAAAATCTATTAAAAATAACCCACTATTGAAGTTAGCCAGGCCCAAAGAAACATAGGTTCTATGGTTTCACTTATTTGCAATAACTAATATATGTCTGGGACAAGCTATGTACATATGACCAGATAAGATGGTGTTAAGTGAAATGAACCCCAAGATATTGACACAAGTGGTTTTTTCTTGCTTGTTATTGTTTCTAGTGTATTTGTAATGTACCATGTGATGTTTTTTGTTTCTTTGTATGCTCCTCCCCCATGGTATAACCCCTGTTTTCACTGTATTTGATGTTGGTGCCCTGTATCTTGCATATAAACTTCTCTAAGTTGGGGAGGGGAAGGGAAAAAAAAACAAAGTGCTTAAATAGAGATACAGTTTGACCCATTGTAACAATGAGATGTACAAAACACTATGTTGAAAAATGAACTTTACAATTTAGGCAGGGAGGAGGGATGGGAGAGAGGGGAGTGTAGTTTCTGAGATGGGAGGGAAGGGATGGTAGGAGAAAAACAAAGGAGGTAACAATGCTTGATAGGAAATGTATTCATTACCTTGCTCATGTAACTTAACCCCTCTGTATGGTACTTTTACAATAAAAAAGTATTAAAAGTACCCCACTATATGTCATATACATGCAAGATATATGTGTCTATGCTTATATATATGAATATATATATATATATATATGTTTACCAACTAGGAAAAAAACAGGAAAATAGTTGGAGAAAACAACCATTAATATACATAAACCAAATTAATATACATAAACAAAAAGGAATTAACATTACTCCATAAGTAAATTTTTAAAAAATCTAGAGTCTATTGTACTGAAACAATTAAAGGACAAATGATTTTATTTTAATCTAAACTTCTTAATTGGATCTGATCAATCTTTGATGAAATAATTTCTAAGACATGAACATGTTTCCTATGCTATCAGATTGATAATGAAATCTTCTAGAGCAGTGCTTCAGTTGCATTAAAAGATATCCAGATATTCTGAAGAACTTTTATTTAATCTCATAGAGAATCTGGTGCATATTTAGTAATTTGTTATGTTTCTGTAATGTCTCTTACTTTGTCCTTATTCCCCCATCCCTCCCTTTCTCCCTTCCTCCCCCTCCCTCTTTTCTGACTCTTCAGTATCCCTCTCAGCATCTTTCATTTTAAAATGCTCAACTTGCTTTCAATGGACTTAAATGATCTAGTAAATGTCCATCCAAATGTTTAGATGCTAATCTAAACTAAGAGAGTATCACCAGTGAACTGTGATTTTACCTCCTTTCAAACAATTCTTCTGGATATTGAAACATTTGATGAAGATGATTATTATTACACATATGATATCTGACATTAACACTACAGGTCAAACCTGGAAATATCAAGAAATTCTATAATAACATGCATAGTTCTATGAGCTACAGTTGCTTACTTATCTAATTATAAATGGTGGCAGGGTCTACTGTGAAAACAGAACTCATGATTAGTAATCACAACTCTTCCCTCTACTGGAAACCTAAGAGAACACAGGGGTACTTAATGACATTAACGGAATAAACTGAAAAATCCATGAAAATATAAAATTTGGGCAGATCTATTTTAGAACAATAGTCAAACTTGTATGGACAACCTATGCTAATGTACCCATAGTTCGTTTCATAATTTCAACTCTAGAATTGCCATACTTACAGAAATCACATTTGCGCTCCTAGACCTTGCTGTGTCTATTTATCTGAATAGCTTTTGCTTTCTCTGTCAAAACTCATTCCCTATCACAGATGAATTTTCTTGAGCTTTATGATTTACTATACCACCGTGAGGACTCTATATAAAAATGGTGATGGTGATGGTGGTGGTAATCATAATAATAATACAGACAATCATGAAATCTACTGTAATGAGGAAACATTTTCTGTGGTCTTTCTTCCACATGTAAAAATCCTCTACTACATCTTTAATTTTATTCACTTCCCATGATAAGAAGCTATATATTTTAAAAAGAAAGAAACAAAAAAGCAACAGTCCATTCTTCTGGAGAGCTCTAGAAAGGTGAGCTATATTCCTCTGTGACTTTATTTTCCTTAAAATAATCTGTTCCAAGCATGTGACCATACAGAAATCTTTTCAGGCAACTATGGCACAATCCTCATGTCTCATGACTCCAGGTATACTGCTTTAGTCTTTTAAACTATATGATGTAACTTCTGAGCTCCATCATGTATGCATGTCCCTCTGGATATACTTGTGTTCTCAACCTTCACCCTTGTCAGTACATGGTATTTATAATAAATCCTCACTGTAGGAAAAAAAATACTTGCTGTAGATCACCTGCCTCTATTAACATTTGAAGGCAACATTGGGTTCAAAAACAAAGTTGTTTTCTTTAAGCTTATAGTTGATGAAATCTACTACTGCCAAGGCAAGTGCTCGCCTGCTAAATTTTACTCTAGGTGTGTGCATGAAAGAGCAGTGGAGAACAAGTTTTTAGTTAACTTGCATGCAGGCATTAACAAACTGCATTAAGTAAAACTATACATTACTTCTCAAAAGGCAAGCCCATGAAAATCTCATACTCTGGATTCATTAAAATAAATGCTCCTGTTTTGCAGTATTTTATAGATACTATAAGGTCAGTCAGTACAAAGCAACAAAAGAGTTTTGTTTTTTTTTTTTTTACTCCAAATCTATACAATATTCAAGTTCTGTACAACAGCATCTTTCCTTGGTCTGTTTTTAAAAAGAGAAAGTAGGGGAAATAGCTTTCACATTTTTTCTTTTGTTATGTTTAAAAGAAGTGAAGAACTTAAAAAAACATTCCATATTTTAATGTGCTTCCCAACATTTTTTTTTAGTTGTAGGGGAATGTTCAAAGCACTGTCCAGGAAACTTGGCCAAATACCTCCCATTAGCATGAATGGAAGTTCAGCTGTCTTACTCCCGTCCACTTGAACATGTGCCCCTTAGTGTTTTCCTAAGCAAATAAAAAAACTGAACCCATAATTATTTTATAATTCTGGGATTATGGGGCGGGATGTTTTCTGATTCATTCTTTTCAAACTGAAACAATTCATTGGCTTTACAGAGACTGAAAGCAAGAGGAAAAAAAAGGAGGGAGAAAAATAATATTGATTGAGTTCTTCGTGTTAGATATGTATTTGTAATGAAATAGTATGATAAATCATGGCTATGAAATTATATAATTCATTTATCTTAGAAAATTGATATCCATACATTCTTTGTGACCAAACTGCAAAGCAGATTTTATTATCCTGAACTTGGTGTACATTTATAATCTATCTGCTTACTTTAAGTGTAGTGGCTTTTA